AAGGCGGCGGGGTGCTGCGTCCGCCTCCGGATGAGCCTCCCCTCAGCCACCCCTGGTGTCTTGTCCTTGCAGGGGTTTTTCCTCGGTGGTGGCCCTGGGAGCCAGCATCATCTGCAACAAGATCCCGGGTCTTGCCCCCCGGCAGCGGGCGATCTGCCAGAGCAGGCCCGACGCTATTATCGTCATCGGGGAAGGGTCCCAGATGGGCATCAACGAGTGCCAGTTCCAGTTTCGCAACGGGCGCTGGAACTGCTCTGCCCTGGGAGAGAGGACCGTCTTCGGGAAGGAGCTGAAAGTGGGTACGTTGCCTCTCTGCTCGCTACTGACCGGCTCCCACCCACGTGAGACCCAAAGGGGGGTGCACAGGGAGTGTCGGGGGGCACAGCTGTTGGCGTTGGCAAAGACCAGCTGGCTCACATGGCTCGGGCCCGCCGGGGCAGGAGCATCACCTTGGGCGCATTCGCCTGGATGCTACGGCTGTCGTCACCAATGTGACTGGCACCTGTGCTCCCTCCCGGCAGGACACCTGCTGCGGGCCTTGCCGTGGTTCAGGAGAGCACTTCCACACGCGTTAGCTTCCGCCGCGGTGTTTCACTGTCCCGCTCTCCCAAGTCCTTTCCGAAAGATTTTCCATTTGCGCGCACAGGGCAGCAGCCTTGTTCACGTACTTAAGGATGCAAAAAAGGTGTTTGGTCCTGGTTAAATGTAGTGGTCAGAGATCATATGCTTAGAATCACATTTCTGGGGTGCAGACGTCTCAACAATGATACCGGCCTGATGTTTCTACCTGTTGGGACTCAGGTCCAGCAACCAGTCTCATTCTAAGACATAAAATCATTATTCCATAGCAACCATATCTAGTGCCCTCTCTCCCTCCAGAAAAAACAGGTGTGTTCTGGTGCGAGATGTCAGGACGTTTGCAACTGGCCTGGTCCAGTCAACAGGCAGAAGATCTCGTTTCTAGTTTCCATTTTTTCAGTTATTGCAACAAATATTTATACAAAATATATAGAAATTCTTAGCTAAGCAAGCATTAATCATGACAAACACAAATACCTCAGGAAACAGAGCTGAGGTTAAAACTCAGTACCCCTGTACTGCAAAACACATAGTAGTGGAGCTTGCTCAATGCTTGTTGATTCCACAGCACTTAAAATACAGAGAACTAGGAAAAGTCTTTTCCAAATACAGGTGTAGCCATTTTTAGAGCCGTTGCTGAAGGCTAATCACTCACAGTACGGCATTCTGCGTCCAGAAGTTGAAGTTAGGATCTGTGGTTTCCACCCTTGAGGTCTTTCTGCCCCCTCCCCATCTAAAATGTAGATGCAAAAACCGAGAAAGTCAGTCAAACGATGCTTAGTGTGATAGAAAACATGGATGTTTCAGGAGAATGGAAGAAGTGACTGAGGTCAGAAGGTAGAAGAGCCCTGAGCAGTTGCCCAGCAGCTGAGCCTGGCTTCTAGCTTGTTGGGAAACCCCCTGGACTGGACTGGCTCCAGGCACCGTTTAGTTATATATGGACAAACAGCAGGATATGACTGACTCTGGTACCTCATTCCTTGCATTCTCATGAAATGCAGAGATACAGCAGTGCCACCCTGCTCTGGAAATCCCAAGAACACCAGGCATTAACTGAACACATATTTTATCACGTGTGCCCACCGATACGTGTATTTTCCAAATCTTAGAGGTATTTAAGGAAAGAACAGAAAGAGAACAAGACGACTACATTTGAAAGCCCCGTGTGAGTTACCAATCTTTCAAAACCTTTGATAATCAAACACAGTGAGTCAAGTAGGGAACGTAAAAACCACCCTGCACGACATTGTGAAACATCTGAAAATGGACCATTTATTCAGATTAGCTCATTGTTTCTATTCCTCGAGCTGAGCTGTTCCTGTCAGTGATCCATGCAAGTGTTTGCCACTTATGTCAGTGAAGAGTCCGTTTGGATGGCTGACAGGTTTGGGCTCATTTAGTCTAAGAGTAACATTTCCTTAAACAGAAAATGTGAGAAGGATTTCTTCTTCTCCAACAAATCATAAAACTGCAGAGTTATTCTGGTCTGTTGTACAAACATGCACTCAGTTCCTCCCCCCCCCCAACACCAAAATTGAATTATTTAGCTAGTGGGTTATATTTAGGTCCTTTTAAAGAAAGTCAATATTAAAGGAAGTAGACTTTGATCTGTCTTTGAGGTGATAACTCTTAATACGTTCTATCTATCCATTACGAGGCTAAGATGGATAGGGCAAATTCATCGTTGGTTTCGGAACACAGTCAAGTGTTGAATGGCATCCAAATTATAAAACTCATTTAAAGAACAGGCAAAAACTTTGCATTTAAACAGGCTATACATTAACCTAGATGATCTTTAAGGTCCCTTCTAACCCAAACCATTCTATGATTCTATGATCTGCAAATAAATTTTGAAAAAAATCACACAGGCTTGAAAGCTGCAATGATGAATTCCACACGCGTGGTGTCTCCGGGATGTGCTCGGACCCTCGAGCACCACGAAATACTGTAACGTAACTACTCCTGTTGGGGTTGTCTCCTTGCCCTTCCGCTTCTTCCTGATCTGCATGTATAGAAACCTACAATATCTGACACAGCTCATCTTTCTATGGCTAGAAGGAAGAAGAATCTGTTTCGTTCCCTATG